TCTGCTCTCAAGCTCTCATTCTCAGAAGTGTAAATTGCATGTATATTATACATTATATACATATATACATTATACAGGAGATCATTCTTAATTTTGAGTGTCGTATGGCCATAGTTAATATTTCAAACAACAGTTTTACCCTTTTTTTTCATGCGGAATCTTATATGTTGTGTTGCACGTTGTGGAAAGGCTGTTAGAGTTGATTTTGCACAGGGAGGATTTTTTGACCGTTGTGCGCCATTGTGGGGTGGAATGCAGCTGACTCCCGGTCAATCAAAGTGGCTCCCCTCATTCCTATTAAAATCAGGACAATGGGAGCGCACACGGTGCTACATTGCAAAAGAAGAAATTGACCATACATGAGATTGATGCATACAAACTGCATTTATACTGGTAAACTGCAAGATCTCCCCTTGCAGGTGATGTAGTCTGCAATGCATGTGATGTGGTCAATTGGAGACCGCCATGCAAGGCAACCAGTAGCAACCCTGCTTCTTCTTAGTTGTGACACACTGTCAGCATGGTGCTATTAAAATATTTTTAAGATGATAATGATTGTCATTTCTTCGCCGAATAGATTTCTTCATTGATTCAGAGGTATTGTTCCATGGAGTCATCATATTTATGAATGCAATCTGATAAAAATCCATCACACACATGCATGAAGCACCGAATCTGACTGTCCTCGATCAAATCCATCAAAATCCCGTTGCACTACCTGGGCCACCGCTTCGACCTGGGCCACTGCTTCGACCTGCTGTTTGCCAGTCTAAATTATACTCTACTTTTTGTCACCAAATTGCATGACACGCTGGGGCGGAGCTTGCAGTCCTGTCGGCCGGAACGCCCAGTGAGACCAAATTTATCAACACGCTAAAACAGAATTGCCCTGGCACAAAAACGCGGATGCACCGATTTTTACGTTGAGTGCAGTCTACTTTGTGTTTCCAAATTTTCAGGTGCATCGAGGGAGCAGCATTTCCATCCGATGGAAAACTCAGTGAAGCAGTCCCAAACGCGGTTGACCAGGCTTGCCTCAGCCATTTTTTTATCCCGAGTGCATGGGTTCCTGTCTACTAAAACAGTCAGCTTCACTCAAAATCCTTACTTTCATAACATACTAAACCGCCACCTTGGACAAGAAGTCCAGGCCACCCTTGAATGAGATGTTGTGTCAGCCTGGCCAAACCCAATGAAAAATTCCTGGCTATAAGCATGTAAATATAACTTACAGTAAGTGGGGCTTGACATTTCAGAGGCCCAAACTGACAGCTTTGTCAGTGACAGGCCCTGACCCAGCATTGATTTAGAAATGTATGGCTAACATTGAATAATATTAATAATAATATATAGCTTTGAATATCTGTCAGTGCAGGAAAAAAAATAAGTCTGCTCAGGCAGGTTGAGGAGCAACAAACAATACTGTAATACACTTACATACAGACATATTCAGCTACCAAGCTTTGGGTTTGTTTTTGTTTTTTGTTTTTTTGTTTTTTACTGTTGTCTGCAGGTTGTTGTTTATGTATACCAGTACTTGTCAGTGTGTAACTTTTATATTAAAATATATTTTATACTCCTGGGAGAAACATCAACCAGCTGCCACAATGCCCCCACCATTTGTGTCGTGTTTTTCCTTTTGTTGTTGTTAAAACGTCGCTGACATCACCTGTGTTTTGGACACCCACACCCACAGGAGAGTTCTCTAACGTTCCACTTAGCATGCTTCTGTCATATGATCTGCATAGACTGAAGGAGGCACAGACGGAGGAATTCTTTTAGGAATTTTGAAAACTCAATATTAGGATTCAAAGACTGTATGAAACTTGGCCAACATAACACAGTGCAATAACAATGTCATAAATCAATACTTTTACATATTGTTCATCATATGATGTCTGTGTGTGTGTGTGTGTGTGTGTGTGTGTGTGTGTGTGTGTGTGTGTGTGTGTGTGTGTGTGTGTTCAGTGTTGCCATTGAACATTTCAATGTCTGGCTACTTATGCGTTGCTGTAATTGTGTTTTACCTCAATCAGTTTGTTTATAATTTGTTTATGTAGTTCTTTGGTGAGGAGCAGTTGAATGTGAGAGGATGATTATTTGCTCATCATTTGGGTATAATTCATTCATGGAAGACAAACCGGTTGTATGCTGGCATTGAAATAATGTAGTAACCATTACAGAAACACATAAACAAGTTTTCATGAATAAATAAAAAAATCAGGTTAGCTGTGGCATAAACATTTGTTGGTGGTCCAACATGGATTTCAAACACTGCTATAAGTTCCCCTGAAGACTCACCATTTCCCTTTCATTGCTTTGATTCTCAAGGGTGAAGTTCGTATCACAAATGAACTAAAGTTGAGCCAGCTGTTTAAAATTCTCAAAATGCTGAGAGAGCCGGGACATCATTTTTAAGTCAATGTTCAAAACTTTAATAACAGAGTTGAAACAAAGATTATCGACAAATTAGGCATACAGCATTTGCATTTTCACGGAAGCGGGTATAATACCAGAATATGAACGTGTGGGGACTCAGGAGAGGTCTCCAGGTTGATCTCACACCCAAAGTCAATTCGGATACGTACTTTTATGTAACCTGAATAAGAAAATGAATGAAGAATAATCATTAGGATATGATCTGTAAGAAGACACTGGTACATTGCAAGGTGCTCTGGAATGCATTGGGGCATAGACATTGTCTTAAACAAGTTTACCTTGAAGATGTCATTCATTCATTTCCACGGAGCTGTGATGCGATACTCAATACTATACGTTCTCTTGCCGGTTTGTGAGAAGATTTTTCAGTTTTATGTCAATTTCTGTACGAGGAATGTACCTTGGCCTACAGTGAAAAATGACATATGGAATTAGCTTCATTTTATTGTATCAAGTCGCTGCACACACAACAGATACATTTTTGAAAGTAAACATATTTAGATCCAAGTGATTTTATTTCATGCACCCAGTTGATGAAATAAAATTGAGCAAAGTCAACACACCACTTTTTTTCAGTGTATGCATATCTCCTGGATGTGTGACATGGGATGTGTGAAAACAAATTATTTCGCAAACACTTACCTGACCAATTTCTTCATCTCGATCAGAAGAATGCTTCCCCTTGCTGTTATTCAATATTTTTACCTTCTTCTATTCATGCTGAATGAGCACTGAGTCATAGCAGTCCAGGAGGCTAATGTGTGGGAGGCACACAGTGGGGTAGTGGAGTGGGAGACAAAATGTAGAGGGTGTGAGTGGTACAGGTTAAGCAGGGTGAGGCTGTAATCATTTTTGTCAATAACCAAAAAAATGTTGTATACATAAATGGTGAATACTAAATATGAATTGTGCCCTCGAAAGAATATCAACCCTTTATTGGGCTCTTTGACCATAATCCATAGCTGCAAATAATTTGAGGTGATTGTGAATGGCAAGTTCATTTTAGAATGACATTTAAAAATATTGCACTAACATGAAACTATAGAGGGCAAGCAGATGAAATAAGTACTTGTACTTTTAATCGATGGAGATAACCATTTGTACTGTCAAACCTGCATGTTCACACCCTACGATGCCAAATTGAAGTCCGAGATGTAAAGGGACTTTGACGTCTGAGTAACACGCCCTGCCACCAGGCCATAATGAGTTATGGAGATGTGCGGATGAGGTGTCTCTGTAATTTTAGAAAATGCCTGTTTATTGCAAACAATAGGGCTGTCCATTAGGAAAATTGATGCGCATACAGCTGTGTGTATGTGCACACGCACGCCCGTGCGTGTGTGTGCGTGTGTGCGTGTGTGTGTGTGTGTGTGTGTGTGTGTGTGTGTGTGTGTGTGTGTGTGTGTGTGTGTGTATACATTTCTCTGCTCTCTCGTGCGAGCC